CATATGCAATGTCAGGTCTAGTACCATCAGTAGCATATCTCAAACTACTAATCATGCTAACATATTCCTTTTAATTAATCACTTCTTTTTCATTTGTTACAATAGATAAATGTATGCTTGCATCAAAAGGAGTAGCAACATGTTTATAGTCTAGAAAATTATATTTCTTTAAAATTTTCTCAACATAATGTGACTGATCAAGAAAAATACCATCATTAGTCTTGGTAATTTTAATTCCCAAAATAAAATTGGCTTCCCCAAGATCTTTCATATCAAAGTGGCTACTAAGCATATTTTTAGTTTCATTTATAATATGCAAATTAAAGCCAAAGACAAGTAGATCATCCACATATAGGCTAATAATTACATGTACATTCTCACAAGTTTTATAATATATGCACTTATCACATTCATTAGTCTTATAGCCATTCTCAAGCATGCAAGAATCAAATTTCTCATGCCACTGTTTAGGAGCTTGTTTTAAACCATAAGGGGATTTAGTTAGCTTACACACCTTGCTTTTTTGGCCAGGCTCCACAAAGCCTTCGAGTTGGTCCATGTAAATCTCCTCATCTAGATCTCCATTTAAAAATGTTGTTTTCACATCCATTTGATGAATTTTTAAATCATGAATTGCAACCATAGCTATCAACAGTCTAATGGATATAATTCTAGTAACCGGAGAAAAAGTATCAAAGAAATCAATATCAACTTGTTGCTTAAAACCTTTAGCGACAAGCTTCACTTTATATTTATCTATAGTTCCATCCGGTTTAAGTTTTTTACGAAGGACCCATTTACACCCAATAGTTTTACAACCTGGAGGTAAATCCACTAGCTTCCATGTTTTATTTGAAAGTAGTGAATCTATCTCATCATTTATAACCTCTTTCTAGAAAATAACATCAGGTGATGATAAAACTTCTTGCACCGTAAGAGGAATTTCTTCCACATTGTAAAGATAATAGTCAGGGTCAAAATCCTTTTTAACTCTAGCTCGTTTACTCCTCCTTGGTTAGATTTGAAAATTTTCTTATTCTTGAAAAACTTGAGAAGGAGTAGAAGAGCTAGGTATGGATAAAATATTTTCAGAAATTATTTGACCCCCACTATTTCTAGATTTGAAAGGAAATTTATTTTCATGAAAAATAGCATCACCTGATTCAAAAATAATATTATTTTCCATATCAAAAAACCTATAAGCTGTACTATGCAACGCATACCCAAGAAAAGCATAGGTGGTAGCTCGTTCACCCAATTTAGGTCGTTTAGGATCTGCAAGTCTCACAAAAGCTAAACAACCCCAAACCCTCAAATAACTTAGATTTGGTTTACACCCCCGCTACAACTCATAAGGTACAATTTTAGTCTTTTTATGTGGCACTCTATTTATCACATGGCAAGCTGTCAAAATAGCCTCGCCCTAAAGATTTGAGGGAGCACTTGAATCAATAAGCATAGCATTCGTCAAATCAATTAACGTTCTATTTTTTCTTTCAAGTACGCCATTAGATGAAGATGAATATGGTCGAGTAGTCTCATGAATAATTCCTAATGACTGAACAAAAGAGTTGAATCCAAGAGATTCATACTCCCGGCCTCTATCACTTCTAATTCTCTTAATCTTGAGTTGAATCCAAGAGATTCATACTCCCGGCCTCTATCATTTCTAATTCTCTTAATCTTTTTACCGAATTGATTTTCCACTTCAAGAAGGAATTCTTTAAATTTCTCAAAAGTATCACTTTTATTTTTTAATAAATATACGTTTGTGTATTTTGAAAAATCATCAATAAAAGTGATAAAATATCGGTTACTACCCCGAGTTAAAATTCCTTCAAACTCACACAAATCAGTATGAAATAATTCTAGCAATTCGGTATTTTTTTTCAACACTTTTATGAGGCCTCTTGGTAATTTTTGCTTTACTGCAAACTTCACATTTCTCAAAATTTTTTGTCACTTTAGGAATTAATCCTAAACTACTCATGATTCCCACATATTTACTGTTAATATGACACAAGCGAGCATGCAAAAAATTAATAGAAGACAAAGTGTAAGTAGTGTCATAGTAATCATAAAATCAATTAGCAAGGAAATTTGAGAAATAAAAATGACATTTATGCTCATCTGTATTATAGGAAGCCACTTTTGCTTCATGTGCCTCGTAGTCTTCATCATTCATCTCCTCGGTTGGGATTTTTTTTGGGTTCTTCTCGGTAAGAACATGTGCAACTTTCAAAAGATTAAGGTAAAAAGAACTTTTCCTTTCCACCTCTTAAAATGAACTCCCTTGAACTTGAAAGGCTTGTTAAGATCTCCAATTCCATCATTTGTTTTTTCTGGTACTTGATCCATGCATTGATCTCCTTAAAATTGTTGGTGAAAATACTAGAAAAATATATTTTATTGATAAATAATGCAAAGAAAAAAAGATACAAATAGATTGGGCTAAGGCACGGATATCTCGTTTTCTTTAAGGGGATCAAGCCCACTGCGGTTGGAAGAACCTAAAATACCGATGCAGCAATCACAAAACTATGACCTGTCCCCTCCAGGATACAACAGCCCAACCACTTGTCGTATGTTTCAAGCCATCTCTGCACAAGATGGTGAACCCAAAGCTCCACCAAGAAAAACACCACTCTTTGCTAGCAATCTCTTTTATATAGAAAATAGTTGGTGAGTTGATTTGTTGTTGAAGAAAAGAGCAGAGGAGGGAACTATTTATAGGCCTCAAAGACATTACAAAATACATCAACAATAATAATGGCCAAGAACCTAGAGAAAAGGGAGAATGTATCCAAACATGAATTCACCACCAAGTTCATGAATTATAATTAATATTAATTCATGAACAAAACCAAAGCAATGAATCTCCATTCAAGAACAAGATAAAATTCATGAATAAGAACCAAGGAAGATTCATGAACAAAATGAATAAATAAATAAATGATATTAAAATGAACCAACAATTAATATATATAAATTTACCATTTATGGATAATGCATTTTCTACATGTATAGTGAATAGTATTTTCCCTTTTATTCATAGAGATTTCTCTCTCAATTTAAAAATTTTTCGTCTCTAGTTTATTATCTTTGATCCTCAATATTACAATTATAATTCACTAGACTTCATTGTAATCGTGGCTTTCCTCAATTTTGAAGCCCAAGACAATGACCTAATACTGTGTTTGGTAGAGAATTTGAAATTTGAAAAGGGAAATGAAAAAGTAGGTAAAATATGAATAAAACATACTTTTATTTTACCTAATTTCACACATATTTTCTCTTTTCCTTTCTAAATCCCTCCCCAAATCTCCCAACCAAACACAGCGTAAATGATTTTGTATATGGACCGGTATGCTCTTAAACACTCATTTTCTCTCATTTTCCTTCTAAAAACACGCTGGAGAGAGATTCTTGTGCAGTATTCGAGCCGTATTTAAAAGTCCATTTTTGTTTCCGTCCTAACTATATATACCCTCCCTTCCTTCTAAGTTAGAATTTTTTGAAAATTTTAAAAAATAAGAATTTGAGAGTTTTTTTTTTTTTTTTTTTTTTCAAGAAAAAAAAAAAAAAAAAAAAAAAAAAAAAAAAAAACAACACCACAAAATAACACCAAGATTTTTTTTTTTTTTTTTTTTTTTTTCAAGAGAGGAATTTTTTAAAAAAATTTTGATAAAAATGTGATGAAAGGGTTGAAGTAGTTCATATCAAATCAAGCTTTTTACTCAAATTTGAAATCAAATTAGATGAAAAAATTGATGAAGGGTTGAATGATCCCTATTGATGTTGGATTCAAATTTTTGAATAGAGACAAAGCAATCCAAATATATTTCATTTTCTTTTTTCTTTTATATTTCACTTACATTGGATCAAATGTCTCCTTGATATAACTGTATCGGATGTAACAAAATGGAGCCTTCAAGAAACAATCAACACAATCTCATATTTTCATGTCATTCACCAAAATTCCATGTGCACAAAATTTGAAGTGGTGGGTTTGATTGTGTAGTTGGGTGAATTTTCATTTACCATTATAAGAAATCAGATTATAACAAGCAATTAAGGTATCTTATTATTTTTCAACTAAATGTTAACATAAAATTTATGGCTCTGTTTGGATGTGTTTTGAAATTACATTTCTACCCTATCACTCTCGCTTCACGTTTGAATACGACTTTCAAAATAGAATTCCATCATATCATTCAAACTACAATTTGAAAACCCGTTTGGCAGCTTTGTTCTTCATTTGTCCGCTTTCAACGTCTTCAGTCTTCTTTCTCTTTCTTTCTGAAAAGCTTCTATGTTCATCGTCTCTGAAAAGGTTCACGTGAACTGATCCATTCATCTTTAATTTTTGAATAGAGACAAAGCAATCCAAATATATTCCATTTTCTTTTTTCTTTTATATTTCACTTACATTGGATCAAATGTCTCCTTGATATAACTGCATCTGATGTAACAAGATGTAACAAAATGGAGCCATCAAGAAGCAATCAACACAATCTACTATTTTCATGTCATTCACCAAAATTCCATGTGCACAAAATTTGAAGTGGTGGGTTTGATTGTGTAGTTGGGTGAATTTTCATTTACCATTATAAGAAAATCAGATTATAACAAGCAATTAAGGTATCTTATTATTTTTCAACTAAATGTTAACATAAAATTTATGGCTCTGTTTGGATGTGTTTTGAAATTACATTTCTACCCTATCACTCTCGCTTCACGTTTGAATACGACTTTCAAAATAGAATTCCATCATATCATTCAAACTACAATTTGAAAACCCGTTTGGCAGCTTTGTTCTTCATTTCTCCGCTTTCAACATCTTCAGCCTTCTTTCTCTTCCTTTCTGAAAAGCTTCTATGTTCATCGTCTCTGAAAAGGTTCACGTGAACTGATCCATTCATCTTTCTCTATTTCAAAGATCAGGATTGAAGATTCGTCACGGGTAGTGTTCATAGAGAACGAAGACCATTTTATAAATTATGTCTGTGAACCCGTTCCCTACTCATACCATATCCCACAAATCAAGTGAGTTACAATTTGTGCGTTGTGGAAGATTCATTCTACGGGCAACCAAACAACGACGACACCGAAGTCAAATAAATCACAAATTTATTTCACATATTTTCTTATAGGTCACTGATTTGAAAAAATCATCCCTAATTTTATTCCCAATTTTTTTTGTCTCAGGTCAAATTTATCAAACCTATTGTCGAATCAGACGACTACCGAAGAGTCGCGCATTCAGTCACTGTACCCACTCCATCATCGGTGATAACTATTTAACTCCCACTAATCTGGAACGTATCTCTTTCAATCACCTGTTATGTGCAAATGAGTTCTGCAATGATTTTTAAGAAATCCAAACGAGTATAGAGATAGTTTCTGCTCTGTCTGAACTCTTTGAACGATTGAAGTTGAGCCGGTCGTCCCTCGGGTTATCCGGCCGGTCGTCCTCCCTACCCATTCTCTTCTTCTCTTCTTCTGCTTATTTCTTTTTCTCTTCTTCTGCTCTTCTGCTTATTTCTTCTTATGGCCTTCTTCTTTTGCTTATTTGTGGTTATTTTTTTACTGTGTAAACTTGCTTCACAAACTTTTTACAGACAATGTTATGTGATTTTTATTTTGTCTCTATTTTGGCCTTCAAATCATCTGTCTTTCCTACAGTTCAAATAAACATTAATGTTATGTGTTTTTATTTTCTCTCTGTGTTATCATTCAAATCATCTGCTTCTCTTAACATTATTTAACAAGTTGAAATAAACATTAATGTTATGTGATTTTATTTTTTTTATCTGTGTTACCCTTCAAACCATCTTCTTTTCATAACATTATTTACCAAGTTCAAATAAATATTAATTTTGGTTCCTACATAAATAATTGTAATTGGTTTTTGCTCTGTTATTTTTTTATATCCACTCCAGAGTAGTTTGCTCGTTATTCTTTTATATCTACTCCAGAGTAGTTTAAATATAAATTGTATGTTTATAGATGGATGGAAACAATTCCGATGGCAATCAGGATACAAAAATGTGGACTCCCAGAATTGAAATGAAATTAATAAACATGTTGAGAGAAGAGGTTAAAAAAAATCAAACAAAGGGCCGTACTACTGTGTGGACAATTAGGCATTGGAATCATTTTGCAAATCAGTTGCACAATCTGTATGGATTTCGGTATACAGCAAAGCAGGTGCGACAAAAATATCAGCGATTGAAAGCTGATTATCAGACGTTTAAGCGATTACAGGCATAGACTAGTCTGGGATGGGATCCCATTGTAGGCATTATTGTTGCACTCGATGAATTTTGGGATAAGGTTTTTCATTAACTGTACCATTTTCAATTTTTTTTTAACATTTCATCACACATACAGTATGCTTAATTTAATATTTTCAATTGTTGTAGGCTACCAGAAATGTAAAGAAGTTTAGGACAAAAGAATTTGAGTATTTCCAAGAAATGGCAGAAATTGTTGAAAATTGTTGTGCCACAAGGGCCTTGTCTTGTGCATTCACACAAGGAGCCCTCGACTCAGATGAAGAAGATGAAATGCTAAATAAATTTTGGAACCCTGAAATTGGTGGAAGTAATGCTGCTGAAGCCATTCCTGTTGACTTATTCCGCGATGAGTACACGGATCCAGCGAAGGGCAAAAGTCACAAGAGGGGCCCTACAAGCAGTCAAACTGACAGTGGTCGTTCGAAAAAGTCACGATCAAGTGGGTTTGATAATGTGTGCGTAGCTTACACATTCTACGTACAAGAAAAAACAGAACATTCACGTGCACTATCGAATGACACAGAGGTTGTAAGTGCATGTGGTGATGAGTATTCCCTTGATGTATGTCAAGATGCATTGCTAGAGCTGGGGGACATACCATCGGTGCAGTACGTTAAGGCACTGACACTGTTTAAAGACAAGGAATGGCGAAGGTTTTTTATGCGTACTCCTATCCATATGCGCCTAGCTATGATCCTCGCTTTGCAGTGAAGTCAAAAGTTGTGTTTTGATTGAGTTAGCGATTCTCCTTGTCGTTCTGCAAAATGATTTGATGATTACTGATTTGTTTTTTATCATTTTTTTTTCATCCCATGAGATGCTCTTTCTTTTCTATCTTCATATGTTTAATTTTATTGAACTTTTAAGTACTTTCTGTTCTACATCAATATGTTGTGTTATTACAAGATGACTACATATTAAACAAATGATCTCCATTGCATTATTTTATAATTATGTTGTTACTATGATGTAGACAAAACAATATGTCATCCGACACAGAAAACAATGCAATGGAGATCTCATCAGAGGAGGATGAGGTTATTGAAGATTTTATGGATTTTTTGATGATTGTTTTCATTCATGACCATATCAACGCGTCAAGTAGTCGCCGACCACAGCGAACTTGTCCATTCAAAGGTGATGATTACATTTTCAGCTTATTAAATGGCCATCCAGAAACAATGATGGACATTATGCGAATGGATGCACAAACATTCATTTTATTGAAAGACACTTTACTCCAAAGTGGCTTTATCGATACTGAACATATGCGTATCAATGTCGAGGAATCACTTGGAATTTTTTTATACAATTTCGCACAAAATGATTGCCATCGACTACTAGCAGATAGATTTCAACACTCCACGGAAATAATTTGTTGGCACATCAAAATTGTTATGCGGGCATTGTGCAAGCTTGCATCAACGGTTATCAAACCACATAACCAAGATGAGATACCAGCAAAAAATTTTAAATGACAAGAGGTTTTTTCCCTGGTTCAAGGTATGAATTTAATGATTGTCTTGTAAGTTTTTAATAACAATATGGGATGATTTTTTTTTCTCCTGTTATAAAAGTAATATCCAAGTTTGTTTCGCTTTTAATGCCAAACAAATATCTTTCAATTAGGATTGTGCTGGTGCTATCGATGGCACATTGGTGGATGCATGGGTCCCTGCTTCAAGACAAAATACATTCCGTAGTCGCAAATCTACGGTATCGCAAAATGTACTCGCAGCTTGCGACTTCGACATGTTGTTCACATTTATTAATTCTGGATGGGAAGGTACAGCTCACGACAACGCTATTTTAGTTGACTCTATTACAAGAGCAGATCTACAGTTCCCACACCTACCCTATGGTGAGTGTCACGAAATAACATACGACACACATTTTGAAATTATTTTTTTGTACATCTGTTTGACAGAATAGTGCATTCATTATTTACATATAGGCAAGTATTATTTAGTGGATGCTGGTTTCACGAACATGCCTAGATTTCTTGCCCCATTTCATTCCCAACGCTATCACTTGCAAGAGTTTCATGACCGTCATTATTCAGGACCCAAGGAATTGTTTAACCATCAACATTCGTCATTACGCAATGTCAGAGAAAGAACATTTGATGTTCTGAAGAAGCGATTCCCAATATTGCGGTCCATGCCAAATTACAAGTCTACAAGACAAGGCCCTCTCGTGATCGCATGTTGTGTACTGCACAATTGGATCCGTTTGCATGCAGATATGGACCTATTCTTCATGGAAGCTGATAATGAAATGGCAACAGAAGTGGAAGCAGACAGGTTTGTTGGAGACGAACCTAACTATGTTGACATGTCACAACATGGGTTGACATACCAATCTAACTTTAGGGATGCAATTGCTACTGCTATGTGGCAAAATCATGTTGGCCATGGATAGATTTGTGATGTGAACAAGGCAAGTGAATATCGTAGTGACTAATGGTTGTAAATGTATAATTATTTTACTAGTTTCAATCATTATAACACCTTTATTACATAACTTCGCCCACTTTACGTAACTGTGAATTTAATGACTTTTTTCCTCTTTTTGTAGGATAACTAACAATGAGTACAACGATTGGGCTAAATGGCAATTAAAGGAAAGGGACCACAAAGATCATCAAACAAAATGTTATTCCGTTAATGAAGACACTTAAATATGTTGTTGATGCGATGTATAATACGCAGGGTCAAACACTTTATTGAATTTGATGGTTGAATGATGTATGCAAAAATTGTACTTTATAATATTCATTCAGTTTATGATGTTCATTAAGTTTTTATTTTAAAAAAAATGTTGGCCATTGATAGATTTGTTATTAATTTTAATTTTTTTTATTAATTTGTAGACGACATTTTTGTATTGCCTTATTTTTTTTCATTTTATTCAAATTTTGGCTTTGTTATTAATTTAAATGTCTTTTTATTAACTGCTTTTTTTTTTTGTTGTTGTTCATGTTATTAACATAATGGTTTTGTTAGTAATTTTTATAACAAACAAGTTTTCATTATTATTTTTTTTCCTTTTTATTAAAGAAAATGTATAATTATTAATTTTTAACTTTTTTTATTTCATTTTAGCCGAATTTTTTTTCTTAATTTGTTTTTTTCATTTTATTAAAATAACGGTTTTGTTATTAATTTAAATTTTTGCATTAATTTGTAGACGACATATTTTTATTCACAAATTTTTCTCATTTTAAAACAATTTGAAGGCTTTGTTATTAATTTAAATGTCTTTTTATTTACTTTTTTTTTTGTTCATGTTATTAACATAATGGTTTTGTTAGTAATTTTTATAACAAACAAGTTTTTATTAATTTTTTTTGCTTTTTATTAAAAAAATGTATAATTATTAATTTTTAACTTTTTTTTATTTCATTTTAGCCAAATTTTTTTTCTTAATTTGTTTTTTTCATTTTATTAAAATAGTGGTTTTGTTATTAATTAAATTTTTGTATCAATTTGTAGACGACATATTTTTATTAATTTATTTTTCTCATTTTAAAACAATTTGAAGGCTTTGTTATTAATTTAAATGTCTTTTTATTTACTTTTTTTTTGTTCATGTTATTAACATAATGGTTTTGTTAGTAATTTTTATAACAAACAAGTTTTTATTAATTTTTTTTGCTTTTTATTAAAAAAATGTATAATTATTAATTTTTAACTTTTTTTTATTTCATTTTAGCCAAATTTTTTTTCTTAATTTGTTTTTTTCATTTTATTAAAATAGTGGTTTTGTTATTAATTAAATTTTTGTATCAATTTGTAGACGACATATTTTTATTAATTTATTTTTCTCATTTTAAAACAATTTGAAGGCTTTGTTATTAATTTAAATGTCTTATTATTTTTTTTTTGTTCATGTTATTAACATAATGGTTTTGTAAGTATTTTTTATACCAAACAAGTTTTTATTAATTTTTTTTTTAATTCGTAGACTTTTTTAATTTTAATTTTTCAATTTTATTGAAATGAAGGCTTTGTTATTAATTTTAATTTCTTTTTATTAATTTTTGTACGATTTTTTTTTAATTTCATAATATAACTGACAAATTGTTATAACATTGTCACTGGTTAATTTTACAGTGCAAAAAAGAAATTTACTGTTCATTACGTCAATACAAAAGATTACAACAAAATAACAAAATAAAATAACCACAACAAAATGAGAAAACAAAAGAACTACAACAAAAAAAAAAAAAAAAAACAAAATGTAGCCACAACATGTGTGAACCATTTAAACGCTCATCGAAACATGTTAAGCATCATTGTCGGGTAGTGGTCGAGATGGAGGTGGAGGAAAGTAGTGATGGTACATTTGAGTGACTCGATGGTCAATTTGATCAATGCGGTTCCTTATCACTTCATCACGTCTCCCTAAGTCTACACGAAACTCACCAAATTGTTGAATTAGTGAATTATGAGCGGCGACAAATTCATCGAATCGAGTACCCAATGTATTGACCTGATTAGCCATTTGTTGTTTCCATTGTAGGTTATTCCTCAATTGGGCCGAGCTGGGTAATGGGCCGTTATGGGCCACATTGCGAAGGGCTAAGTAAAAAGGCCATGAAGTTACTCCGGCCCAAGAGAGGGATAAAGTTACTCCGGCCCAAGAGAGGTGTAAAGTTACTCCAGTCTGAAAGAATCTTGAGGTTAGTCCGGTCTAAGGGAAGCTTTGAACATAGCCCGGTTGCCGTACTCAAAGTTAACCTGGTCTTGGCTTATCGTGGTTATCTCGGCCAGAGTCGAACTAAAGTTAGCTCGGTCTAGTCTGCGGCTTAGCATAAGCCATGCTTACCTCGGTCATACTGGAGTCCGACCATGGTAAAACCATCTCACTTGGTTTAAGTAGTGAGGAGGGTGTTGAAGGATAAGCATTATCTTTTAGGAGTATGACTCCTAGGAGGACTCTACATGGAGGAGTAAGAGCCCTACTAGGATTGTGCCACACGGAACCTATAAAAGCTCACAACATCACCTATGGAGAGGTAAGACACGACTTTGATTCATAGAGCTTTTTGTCTTTGTCTATTTTGCTGACTTAGGCATCGGAGAGGTATCCAGCACACACCGGCCGGCTAGCTCACGTTTGTGTTTTCAGGGAATAAAGCGACGACGTTCGGAGGAGCGCAGACTTGATCAACAGGATTATACGAGAAGGTTTATTTCTTTCCCGTACAATTGGCACCGTCTATGGGAATTACAGACTAGAACAAGACCTCTTGATCAAGTTTTTCCTCTTTAAAAGTAATGACGCACAACGAAGATTTTCCGCAGTCCACCATCGACGGACAAACACCAGAGGGGAGTACAAGACGCGAAGGCCTACCTTCTATCCCTCCCATGGCAGACTTAGAGCCACAGCGACAAAATCCCAAGAGGGATACAAGGGGAAGGAGGCGGACTAACAGCCCCCGTCACTCTCATTCACGAAGTCCTGACAGACGAAGGCGGAGGATTGATCCTCAAGTTCTGGAAGACCGTGTGAAGGAGTAAGATGAATTAATAAGGAAGATGACGGCAGACATGGAGGTCATGAAGCGCCAGATGAAGGGAACAGGAGTGGCGACAGGAGAGGGGCGCAAAAGCAAGACGCCCCCTCTCCGCTCAGAAGACCGCGGAAGGCATTCCGCACCATCACAAGCAAAGAGTAGAAGCCTCAGGACAGGCGATACTCAATCCAGAACCTCCAGAACTCGTTTCTCCAAGTCTGAGAGAACGAGATCATTGAGGTCTTACACAGAGGGAAGTACCTATCGGCCCTCACACACGCACCATACATTATCCAGGCAAACGGAGTTACCAAGATCGTCCGATTTACGAAACATGTTGGAAGAAAAGGCACGATGGAAGGAGGATACTAGGGCACGCAACCCTCACAGGGTATCTGCCCTTCAGCGGTTGGCTCTTCGGACGCATGGAAGCATCGAGGTCGGAATGTCGTTACCACGCCTTGTCTACGAACCAACGGACAAAGCATTAGCAAGGCTGCAGACCTCGCCGTTTGTTCCGGCAATTGAAAATGTGCCCCTACCTTCAGGCTTCCTTCAGCCCAAATTCACCATGTACGAGAGGAAGACGGACCCCTACATACACCTAAGCCACTTTCGCCAGGTTATGGCGGTATATCGACGAAACGAGGCTTTGATGTGCATCCTTTTCCCATCAAGCCTTGGTGACCTAGGCTTGACTTGGTTCGAAAAACTTCCAGAATGCAGCATAGCCTCCTGGGCACAGTTGGCGGAGGCGTTCGTCACAAGATTCAGAACAAACACTAAAACCTCGGTGGAGATTGACCAGCTACTCTCCATCGGCATGGGCGAAAAGGAGATACTAAGATCCTACAATAGTCGCTACTGGGAGACATTCAACCAGATTGGGGACTGCCTCACCAATCTCGCCATTGCACAATACAAAAGAGGCCTTCCAGTCAGAAACAGACTAAGGGACTCAATCACTATGACACCGCCTCTCACCATGGAGGCCTTGATAGAAAGAGTGCATCAGCACATCAGAGTGGAAGAGGATGGCGCCCGTGCCAAAACAAAATTTGGCACGACCGCAGTACCAGATAAAAAGACCGCAGCAAAGATCAACACGGTAGAACGTCTGAACAAAAACGGACGAGGCAGGCGAGACAACGGTGAGGACCAGGATAAAAGATGGCTGAGAGTCCGCACTGCCATAACCATGGTATTCAAGAAACCGATCTACCGGATTCTGAGCGAAATACGCGATGAACCTTTCGTCAGATGGCCAGCTAAGCTAGGAGAAGCACAGAAAGACTACGACGAAAGATCCCGATGCACCTTCCACAAAGAAAAGGGGCACCGCACTGAAAATTGTATGTCATTGAAACAGCATCTGGAGGAGTTAGTGGCAGCCGGTCACTTGGATAAATATATTGAAGGAGGGACGCAACCAGGCCCCCAGGACCACAATAACCCCAATGGAATGCCAATTGACGCCCCACCTCAAGGTGTGATCAATGTGATACATGGAGTATTCGAGCCTGAGCGTGTATGGGAGCTCAGAGGGTTGATCAAGAAGGCTAAGCACTTAAGGGAGGTATTAAGTGCCCAACCTACTATCAAAAAGGGAAGAATAGAGGCCACGAACGTCATGTCTTTTTCAGACAAGGACTTGGAAAGAATATATTACCCTCACAACGATGCACTGGTCGTCACCCTCCTCATCAAGGATTATGACGTCAAACGAATTCTGATAGACCAAGGTAGCTCATGTGAGATAATGTACTACGACACCTTCAAACAACTGAAATTAGAGGACAAAGACCTGGCACCAGCTGTATCCCCCGTGATCGGATTCAACTCAATGCCAAAATGGCCAGTCGGCAAAATTATCCTACCAGTCAGGGCAGGAAGCGTG